TGGGATCGTTGTGTTCACTCCCAGGGGAACTACTTCGAGGGTGATGGATGAATTTAATACCTGAGATAAGTGTACGGGTTTTTATAGGCGCAGTCTAGAAACTTTCCGATCGCACCTCGTATCTGTAGTTACGGCAAATTGTTAGCTCTGATGAGGTAACGGAAAACCTCTGCTGGCTATCGTCCAAGGCTGCAAAACGCTGGAAGCCCTGAAAATGGCTCGTAATTAGCATTGACCTTTTTAAAAGACAACTGCAACAACATTCCCTGTTGCCTTACAGCGAGACACGAAGGTACAAACAGAACACTAAGATCTTACGATAGAAATTATGAAGCTGTTAGTTTTACGAGATCCGCTGGTTTCTTACTTCCAGTAAATTCCTCACACTTTCTATGCGAGATTTATTGAATGTTATTGTTGAAAATGATAAGGGAGGGCAGAGAAATTGATGATAATTGCATTTTTTCATCCTCTGTGGACCGTGGCTTTAATACGTATGTTGTTTTATAAAAGTTCCAGTTGTCTGATTCATGGAGTTAATTACAGTTAATGGGATATTGTAAATATAAACTTTCTGTAATATCTTTAAAACTACGAGCGTAAAACCTGTGCTAGCACGTACAATATATTCTTAAGTATTTCACATTTTGTTTCCGCGTTACTAAATAATCAAAATAATTATACATGTGAATGGATTGGTCGTGATGGCACAGCCGCCAACCAATATCACCCGATAACCAATTTGGCCTTATTTTCATGGGACTTGGTGAAGAATGCTGTATGAATTCTGTGATAATAGTATTGGGGTGCTCGGGATTCTGCTAATAAAAATCAAACGGCAAGAGGATGACGGCATGCTTAAAAGTATATTTTTATATAGTGCACAGATCCTTCATTACAACCACATGCATAACATCTAAACGTTCTGAAGTTTTACCCTGCTTGTATAAAAATACTTACTTATAGTCGTATTTTGTAAAAATTTGCCGTTGTTGTAGCCAAAAGCGGTGTAATTTATAGCTTTCTGTGCTCCACGTTTTATAAATCCTTTGTAGGCGTCCGTATGACGATTTTAAGTAAAATCATGACTTAAGACTCTAGATTTTAATTCAGATACTTTAGAGTTGCGAATTCAAGCTCGTTACCATGCAGTTAATTTGCTTAGTCAAAAAAATTCCAATTTCCCTTCTTTCAAGCGTGTAAGTGATCGGAACGAAACCCATATACGATCGCAAATCCAAGGTATTCCCTTGCTTTCCTAAGTACTTGTATGTAGATTTGCAATTTGATAAGGACAGTGTCCCAGATACGTTGACAGTCCTCAATAATAGCGTAAACATTCTTTTTATTCTTGTACTTCGATTGCATGAATGTGAACAAAGCCACGCCGTTTTTCCAGGTCGACAGATTTAGGTTAATCATTTCAGACCCATTCAACCGTGAAACCACTTTCCAGCAGTGAACGAAGTTTATCTAGGCCACAAGAAATAGCTTTGGGTATTTACTCTGAGTTTTTGTGAAATAAAAAAAGACAAGGTAAAAGTTACAGATGTATGTGCTTAGTAAAGTATTTAGGCAGCAATTAATGTGAAAGTGTATCTAGTATACCACTTGATTTCAAAAATTCTCAGTTTATTTAAAATCCCTGTTTCCTTTAACCTAACAGTACTAATATCACGAACCAGAAAATTAAACGATTCGTAATTACTGTAATTGTTCAGAAATGTTGCATTGCGTAATTTTACAACGTTTTACTTTTTGATCCTTCATTTCGCTGCTCATACTTCTCCCTCTTTGTGAGGTGTCTTATATCCTGACCACGCAAAAACTGTGTAAACTTCGGTGACCACTTCCTTGCATTATGCTGACGTAGAAATTGCGGTCACATCGTCCTTGGGAATTCCAAAACACGATGGTTCATGGCCTGTGGTCGCAAAATGACTTTCTCTTCACATTGTGTCCTACGTTGTTAACTGCTTCGAGTATGACACTGGACCGACGGATACCTCCGCCTTTGAGGACAAAAATCATGTATTTCTAGGAAATATAATTCCATGAATAGCTTTCCACACTCTGTATAAGGAAATGATAAGCCATCATTGAACACATTTATTATGGGATGTTGCGCCATGCATACTGTACTCTGGTTGATAGTGTCCGACGTTTCAAAGGAGTATGTTGCACCCATCATCAGGGTGATAACAATGATGATGGAGGCAGTAAGTTCCTCTAAAGCGTCGGTCAGTATCTACCAAACTATATGGCGCAACATCCTAGAAAACAGCAGTCTTCACATTCGTCGCCGTGAGAACCTGAAATCTCACATTGAAGCCAAACATTTATTTGATGTTGATCGTTTTAGACTTTCCCAGAAAACTGATACAAGTCAGAACCAAAATACAAATCTGGAGACATTTCCATGCAGAGAAATTACTGGAAACGAGTGAGACACCTAGGATTATCAGTGGACCAACCAAAACACTAAGATTTGTAACTGTTTTAAGACCATAACAACGACAACAGACACACACACGAACCCACACAGTTCAAGGCCCCTTAATAGTTGCCTGCTTATTTTTCTCATAAGGCCAGACTGATAACCCGGAGACTAAGCTAGGGATCACAAGCTTAGCAATTCTACATGAAATAATTAAGATTAATAATGATGTAATTCAAAACTTATCTCTAATGTTTTTGTTTAATCGGTGTAATTAGAATACACTCGAAGTTTCGCATTAAAATATTACTAAGTATGATTATAGAAGCGGGCTTATCTAATGAAGACCTTCTGTATGTCCTCGTTGACTACAACTTCTCTTGCAATGAAAATCCACTTTAGTTATTTTGGTTTCCCATATATAACTAATTCCGTGGAGACGAGCCCTGGGTGAGATGCTGTACGAAGCCCTAAAAACATTCAGCTGGCCAGGAAATTCCCCGCTCATTATCGTGTTTACAAGAGGCAGTATATTAACCATTACACCTCTGTTTTTGCATACAATTTTGATGTATGCCCCAATCCGTAGGCTCTGTAATAATTCTGCCATAGGAGCTTATAATTTGGCGGCGAAGTACTGTTCTTTTAAGTAGCAACATCAGTTCGCTTTTGGTAATGAACAACAAACGTGTATAGAAACTTAACAACTTTCTCTAATCATCTGTTACAGTTAGAATAAATGTATTGTCGGGGTGGGGATGATTGCAGTTTGTAATTGAGCTGGTTGACGTCATTTTCAAACGATCAATTACAATAGTTTCTATTAGTTGTGATGAAATTTATTAAGAACTAGGGCAGAACGCTCCTTTCGGAGCTCCTCGGAGGGGCTGATCAAGTTTTTAAAAAGCAACCAACCCCTTCGGGGGGGGGGGATTGGTTGCGTTTTAAAATCTTGTGTAAGAAACTAAATTAAACCCCCCGAATGGAGGGTTAAAACACTTGACCAACCCCTCCTTCGAGGGGGTTGGTTGCGTTTTAAAATCTTAAGTAAGACACTAAACTCGGCATTGTTGTGTTCCACAACAATGCCGAGTTAGTTTATAGTTGACATTGTTGATGACGTCATTCTTTGACGACAAATTGGTTGACGACAACGGGGAATTACAAATTTTTATAGTAGATAGTTGAACATTTGGTTGGACACTGCCCACATATTGCAATAAATGTTTCATCTGAAGCAAACGTATGAATTAGCATCGGATGTCTGTTAAGCTTAAACTTGGGTTTAAACACATTAACAAATTGTTATGTGCCGGAAATTGTTGCAGGTGATTTCGGGACATACCAGTTTCGACAGTCACTACTACATATGCTTGCAGCCCTCACCGCAGGGCTCCATATGCTCACCCTCGTTACCGTGGCGGCTGTTCCAGATCACAGGTAATAAACTCTGCGATGTTAGAACGCTAGGGTACGTTCTGGAAACCTGCACATATTCACGCCGTGCATTATATTAAATCAAAGTCGAATTTCGAACTCTTTAAAATAAATTAGAATATTCTTCTTCTTGTTCCGGTTTAACAATGTTTGTACATTTTCCGGGTCCCCAACTTTTCAGTTGGCTTGATCTATGGACATTCGGTAGGACCCCTTGGACGAGGGATAGGCCTGTCGCAAGGCCTCTACATGTACACAGGACAGCACAACACAGAAAAACATCCATGGCTTGAGTGGGATTCGAACCCACGGTCCCTGCGACCGCGCGGCCACTGCGGACCCCTAAATTAGAATATTAAAATGTTTAAAATAAATTGTTATTGTAATGATACCCAGGCACATACAAGCGGAAGCAAATAACAACACACACCCATTCAGATATGCAGATGAGATCTGCGAACTTTATTTTCAAACACACAAATATACGCAAGCTGAGTTCAAATATTCCGAGACAGAACTATTTCTTATTTCTTTATCTGATTTTTTTTTGATTCAGAGAATGCACAAGACAGCAACAGTTTCTGAACTGAGTAAGAACTAGTAATTGATCTATCTGGTCTCATCATAATTAACCTAATTTTTATAATAATTATTTTTGTTTAAGATTTATCAGTAGCCATCTTTACCATCATACCGTGATTCTTGAGCAGATTTTTGTTTTGAGACATGATTGTAGGTTTGTGAGTTATATAAATGTACTTCAGAAGTATTCTGGGCTCTGGTTATTGTATTTAAGTTTATGATGTGAGTGATGTTAAAACTTGGCGAAAATGCTACTCTGTATATGGAAGTTCTCTTAGATACCGTGTATAGGCCGGCTCTGGGGACCCCTCCCCCCATCTATACATTTTGTACCGTGTTTTGTTTGGGGGTGAAGCGGACAAGGCGTGACGTTCACCTAGTGCCGGAGTGGAGCCTTACCTCAACTTCCACGTACACCTTCGTGGCGTGGTTCTTAACGTACAATAGGGATAACATTGTATTTTAAACTTCATGCTCTGACAACTCTAACCTCTAAGAATGAGCTCCTGATACCCAGTGACCATGAGGCTAGGTAAACGCCAGGTTACGAAGAGAACATTCTAACGTTTGGCAAGAATCGATCCCTATCGTGAAAGTCGTAGACAGTCGCATTAATGATAGAAATGTCTCGGCTGTTAGACACGAGGGGTATAAATAATGAAATATACCTAGAATCACTAAATTGTATCATTTTACTTAAATTATTTTAGCTAGTATTTGATTAGCTAAAGGAAAGAAGTAGTTTACGTAGGCCTAAGCCAACAAGGAACAGCCAGTATTGCCTGAAATGATGATAACAAAAGTTTGGATTTCCTCTTAATGATAATTTTGTGTATCGTATGGAACCTGCCACATTCCTTTTCGTTTATCATTCTTTGGGACAACTTGCCTATTTTTATTTTTCTGAATGTCCTTGTTATTGTCCAGTATGGGTACTGTGTTATCCAGTCTAGAAAATTAGCGATTTACGATATTAAATAATGAGGAATTCTGTGTTATTCACAAATTATTCTACCTTACGACGTTACATAACTTAGGCAATTTAAAATCATTAAATAAACTAAGAATTAATTAGACGTTCATGGTTAGATAATACATTAGCAATGAAACATGGTTTATTTTATTAATGACTATTACTGGCAGGCTGTGTTGCTGTGTTATATTTAGCTAGTGTGGCAATGTTGTGCAAGTCTGCAGGTCCTCGCTGTAGCAAGTCTCTGGACGCATGTCCGGAATGTGGCTCTTTATGATTGGTTTACTCACATTTTAAAATCAGGCTTCCATTTTTCACTCGAGACGGCTACAATTAATTGTTCTACTCACTTTTGTAAAGGTTAGAAGCTGACACGTGATGAGGTTCCAGCGTGTCGATTGTCTAGCCACTAAAATGAGTAGGCCTATCTTTAAATCTCTGGAAAAAATTTGTAATTTTGACTTGAGCGTTACTTTAATGTGGGATCCTAAAATGTTATAAGCTTTGAAGAATATCAATCTTTCGTTCAGCACTGCTTTAGAAAGTAAGATAACATGGCGGCAGCGCAAATGCTATATTTATCTTCGTTTGATGGTAACTAATAAATAATTTGATTTTGGCACGTAATATGTTGCACGAAGAAAGGTAATAAACACGCTACATATTCCATGCTAAGTATTTTTATGCTTTAACAGTTACAAACATGGCGACATTGTGAATCTGTCTGGTTAGGTTTGTAGCATATTGGACTAATTTAAAGTTACCGAATTCTTGTGCAAATAAAGAGATCACTGAGTTGTATAATCATGCTGTTTATCAAAATATTATAAAGGTTGCCAAATCAAGGATGATGAGAAGAGTAGAGCATGTAGTTAAAAGGGGAGACAAGAAATATATTCAAAATTTTGTTTGGATAGTCTGAAGAGATGAGAACGTTTGGAAGACCTAGATGTATATAGGAGGATAATAAGAAACATGCTTTATGTATAGGCCTGCTGTATGAATATTAATCTCATCTGACAGATGTGCGGTCCCAGGTCTTGATGAGAATGGGACAGTGTCATTCTGGAACTCAAAAGAGGTGTTGGCTGCAATCCCAAATACCAAGGATGGTGTATTGGACTCATGTCACTTAATGGATCCCATCATGAATATATCTGTCAAATGTAATAAATGGATTTATGACAACACGTACTATCAGTCTTCAAGAGCTATTGAGGTACGTGATAAGATATCCCTGAAAGTTGTGGATTAATGATAACCATTTATATGTCATATTCAGTGTTCCTTGGAACAGCCATTGTCTTTTTTTTTTGGATAAAATGAAGATACTTACAAGTTAATGTCTGTCTATCCATCCATCCACATATTTCATATCCAAAATTTCTGATTGAATTTCAGTGTAGTTTGGTGTTGGCAGTTTACACCAGAAGTGATTGTGTGAATTTCATTTTGGTTTCCATTGGTCAAATATAAAGCTTAATTTGTGTGAAGCCCAAATCAACTTAGTCAGTGGTCTGAAACAGATTTCTTGTTCATACAGCACATTTTTTATCACTGACTACTAAAAACAATTGTATACATGTTTCTCCAAAATGTTAGTACCCATCCACAAGTCCGCACAGCATCACAACCAAGAAGACCACTGTGGATATCTTCTGTACTGTGTGAATCTCAAATTTCTATGTGTTGAAATGATTTTCCAGGAGAAATATATTTTTTCTCATGCAGTGGGATCTGGTGTGTGACAGACGATGGATGGGCGCTGTGGCCCAGACTGCCTACATGTTGGGTGTATTCACAGGAGCTGTTGTGTTAGGCAGCATGGCAGACAAGTATGTCGTCAACCAATAACAATTGCTGGGTTGGAAATGGTAACTACATATCTCTAGTTCCTAGGTTTAAACAAGTAAGGAAAAATCCCAGTTTTCACATTCATATTATAATACGTTTTGTAGCTTTTTGTTGGCAGTCTGATAGAAGTTTACCGACGTTTCAGGGGTCCTTGCTGCCTGCATCATCAGGGCGATGATATAATTTTATTCTGTTTAAATATAGAAATGTTTTTATTTAATTGTTATCCAGTATTTGGTGTGCCATAACAAGGACTTATAAATGAAACACTTGTTGGATTATGATAGAGCTGGTCCATTAACATGCTAAGAACAGTGATTTTAATGGGAAATTTTGATTTAATTAAATATTGATTTTTTTCAATATTTGTAGGTACAGTGTTTGATTGCATGACATTATTTGACATACAGCATTTTCATTCCTGTAACACGTTTGAGGAGACTGTAAAATTTCTTTGGGTTGTTCTCTGTTTCATCCACCTTCATTAGAGATCTTGATACAGCTCAGAAATTCTGATGAGGATATTTGGATCTGAACGTAAGTGTAATGATTAGTACTCATGCTTCATATTTTGGAAGTCCAGGTTTGATTCTAGGCTCTGAAGGCCAGCTATTCTGCCTGAAGAGCTGTTCCATCGTTTTTTTTCTGTCGCTCCAGACAAATGCTGGGATAGCTTCTTTAAAACAGGCATGGCCACTTCCATATTCTTCTGTCTTCAAGATTTACATTTTTCTCATCTGTGCCACATAAACTAGGCAGTTGAGAGAACACTGTTAAATATAGTAAGTACTAATCTAGAACATTGGTGAACTAGGAACTTAAGTCAGATATTCACACTCAGTAAAGAGGAACATTGTGTTAGTTAAGACACAGTGCTCTGTTACTACAGGATGGTTCTACAAGGCGGTGCAACATCTGCTAATTGGAATATTAATGAGTCACATAATGAACTGAATGCATTTCTGCTTTCTTACTAGATATGGTCGAAAGATTATTCTGTATATTTCGGCAGTCTTGCAGCTGGTTCTTGGTGTGGGAGTTGCTTTTGTTCCAGAGTATTACAGCTTCCTGGTAATAAGATTCTTGTACGGAATTTTTGGTTCTGCTGGGGCCTACATTACTGGGTTTGTGCTTTGTAAGTATTACACATTATAATATCTTATTATTTGGGCATAGAAATGGATATTACAAGTAGTTCCCGTCTAACAGAATTTATTTTAATGCAATTTTAAAAGTAGGACACATTCTGAATTAATGATAAAACAAAGTAGGTGTTCAATGTAGATGATACTGGAGATGGCTGTGTATCTGGTAGAAGTTTACCAGCGTTTCAGTGGTCTTTACTGTCTCCATCATCAGAACAATGAGAAAGCCATATTTGGACTCACCACTGTGAAAACATCAAATCCTACTTAGATGATACTGGTTTGTTCTGGAAGATGCCTTGGAGAACCTACATCTCCAAATAAGAGCAAGTGACCCTGGGAATCAAGGGATATTTTTTAATTTACATATATGTCCCAATATTTTTGTTAGCTCATAACAGAATTTTGTTTCCTTAATGAATAAACTGGTATCTTTTCAAAAATGTCAAAGTTTAAAGAGTGCAGAACAAAATTAATTTCAAATTAAAAATTGTTTTTTGATTATTTACGATATGTTATATATCACTCCTGCTATTATATATTATTGTGAATAAATGACAATATATTATACACATTACAATACTATAAGTTTGTTAATAGTTTCCTATTGACATTCTGGAATTGCTATTATCAGCCTTTTTTCTTAATTAACCAAGAAAATCAGCTTTTCCCTTTTTCATTTTTCAGCAATGGAGATTGTAGGTCCTTCAAAGAGAACAGTTATTGGAGTCTTGTTCCAAGCATTTTTTGCAACAGGTCTAATGCTTGTCGCCTTTTGGGGCTTCTTTATCAAAGATCGGGTTGTGCTACAGGTTATATATGGACTCCACAGTTTGCTACTAATTGGACACTGGTGGTAAGTCCTTTTAATATAGTTTATATAACTTTTTTTAACCAGTGGATGTCTTTGTATGTGATATGCATATAGGGTAAAATAATTATCAGATGATAATGATATATTTATATCTCTGCCATGCTTCATGCAGTAGAATTGAATATAATTAATTGTCTCTATCACACTTAATAGTGGTTAAAGTCATTCAGGTTAACTTGTCTCATAGTCTCAGTATGCAGTAAAGTAAATGGTGCAGCAATCTTAATAAGTGCTATAATTATGAATATATAATGTACCTGATTGTGTTGTATACATATCTAAAATATTCAAGTATTTAATTAATATTATGTATATTAATATAGGAAATTATAGAAATTTCTCTTTATAAAAACACAAATTGTTACTTATATCCAACTCATGGAAATTTTTTATTGATTCTTTAATTGTCCATTATTTTTGTGCATTGATCTGTTTATGAACATAATGAGTGTAAGATTTGAGGTTTCCTCAGCGGTGATTATGAAGATTTCTGTCTTCCGGGTTGTTGCGCTGCGTAGTCTGGTCGATGTTAACCAACGTTTCAGAGGTCATACTGCGATGAATTGCCCTGATGATGGAGGCAGTATGACCTCTGAAACGTTGGTAAATATCGACCAGACTACGCAGCGCAACAACCCAGAAGACAGAAATCTTCAACATAATGAGTGTTTCTTTTGTAGGACTGTAGATGAATCGCCACGCTGGCTTTGGGCACAAGGACAATTTCATAAGGCTGTAGCCATAGTGGAAAAAGCTATGAAGCAGAATGGTTGTACAGAGGAACTGGATGTTGCATACTTTGTTTCTAAAGGAAAAGCAAAGACTGCTGTTCATGAAAATGATAGAGCAAGCCTTGCTGATTTGGTTAAAACACCTAATCTACGCAGTAGAACTTTCAACATTGTTCTTAACTGGTGTGTTTTTGTGTAATTAAATAAATTGTAGTTGTTCTATACTTTCACTGTAAAGCTTATGGAAAAGGTGAGTTTTTATGAATGTGAATTATAAAGCATTATTACCTTGCAGGAACTGAGGGAAACTGCAAAGGCCTCAGATAATTTATATCAAAATTTGTTCTGCAGATCACATGAGAGCAAACCAAACATGTTTTAAGCTATGCAAACTTCATAAAGTGTTGTTATAGAATTTAGAAACATACGACATCTTCTAGAGGATTTTTATAAAGCATGGATAAAACTATAGTATATAATACAAAGTTTCACCAAGTACATTACAGAATTTGTGGCAGCCTGTAACAGGGACTGGATAATGGAGCTAGTGGGTTTGAAAATTTTTTGAATTTCACTACATTATAATGGCTCAATAATTTATTTTCATATATAAATGTATTTTATATTTAAATTTATACTTGTTTCCTCTCATATCAGTATAATCATTTCTCAATAGGTTTGCCAATAGTTTGGTTTATTATGGACTTTCTCTCAACACTGGGAAGTTGTTTGGCAACCCCTATCTCGTTCTTTTTATTGTTGGATTAGTCGAGTATCCCAGCTACATAATGATTGTTCTGCTAATGGATCGTTTGGGACGACGTAGTCTTCTCAGTGTGCTCTTATTGCTGGGAGGTTTATCCTGCATAATAGCAGTCTACATACCTCAAGGTAAACCTAAATATGATTACTTTTAATTACATCTTTATTAATGTGTTAAACTATGTAAATGAATAGTTATTTGCTGCTGTTTAAAATATCAGTATGTTTGATTCTCTTTTCAGATACACAAGCTGGCAGTATTTCAGCAACTACTGTTGTGATGCTTGGAAAATTTTTTGTTGCTGGATCTTTTGCTATAGTCTACAACTACACTGCCGAGCTCTTCCCTACAGTGGTGCGAAATACAGCTCTGGGTATTGGAAGTATGGGTGCTCGTCTGAGTGGCGCTCTCACTCCCTTGATCACATTATTGGTAAGTTATCAATTAATTACTATAAAGCCACGTTTGGACTAGTCTTGTTTTACAAGTTTCATTTACTTTGTTTTGACTGGGATTTTCACAGCTGTGTGACTTTAGATTGTGGTGTTCCAAAATGCTTGCAAAAAATCACAAAATTTCACAGATCAACAACCCAGAAGGTCAAAATCTTAAATCAGTAAACAGCAGAAGCAGTATTACAATTTTAATAAATTATGTCATAATAGCCGAAGTGTAGGCAAAAACTGAAATTATTACATCTGTAGGTGTTTCAATATTAAGCTACATTTTCCCCATAATTGTTTATAACTATCTCACAGCTTCACAACTTGTGTCTTCCTTTCTGATTTTAAATTGTTGCCATGTTTGGGATGTAATGTTCCCCATATTTTTGCATATGTCTACATCATCTCAGTCTGCTTTGCCCCCAAAGCTCCCATGTCTTCATGGAATGGTGCTTAGGTACAAAGGCAGCATTTCCTTTACCATAATAAATGTTGAATGAATCTGCTCAGTTCACTTAAGCTTTCTTTCTAAGAAAATAAAAATAAAACTGATTTTTATATTATTTTATCTATTATTCTTATTTTTATTGTAGATAAAAATGTATGATGGAAATATGAGATAACGCAATGTTATTAAATTTTCTGCAAGTGCTTAAGGAAAACTAAAATATTATAATGCTTATTATCATTAATAGTTGATTATGGTATAGAAAGGAATTTTATGTATTAAGATGTGCAGTGCAATGGAGTGTAGTAGCATTTACAAGTTAAAGCTTTCAGCTACAGTGAAATGTGGTAGAAATATAATTATGATTTTATGACATCTTAATGGTCCTTTAGGATGTACCTATTGAACACGATCTAAAACAAGATTACATTTATGTGCTATGTATAGAGTGCTGCTCTGTTCTAGGATTCCTTTGACAAGAGACTTCCTTCAATTATATTCGGTGCCATTGCTGTGATATCAGGATTGCTTGCCCTTCTACTTCCTGAGACTCTTAACCAGCCTATGCCTCAAACTCTGGAGGATGGAGAGAAATTTGGACAGGGAGATACGGCTTTAAATGCTTGCTGTAAGAAGAGATCTAGAGGGCAGAAATATGACCTACCATTATCATATTTGGACTAAGTGTATACACGAATTTCCAGATGTGTTAAGGTTTGTGTGTGATGGTATGAAAGCTTGTTCTAGTTGGCAGACATAAAATAGGAAGATGTTAAAAATGTAGATTGAGAACTAGAATATTTGTAGCAGTTGTCCAGATGTGTACAGACATGCAGTGTCCTCTTAAATTCTTCATAAAGTATCATTTAATTCTGATTAAAAGGATTGGATCTTGAATCTAGAATAAAACAATTATAATTATTTGAATGACCATTTAATCCTTATCTATGTGAGAATTCTGAGTTTCTGTTAAGTGCTGCATTTCACCTGTCTTCACAAGGATATATCTTACATAGAAAGAATTTCCACTCCACTTTGAATTCTAGAATATGTTAACCATTATTGGCCATGCATTGTGGCTTATGCATGGTTCCCATTAGTTATGTGTCAGTAGTATACCACTACCGTTAAACCACTAAAAGCTACAATCCATCTTGCAGCCCTGTAGCATGAGTATGTAAATTCCCTATTCCAAAATAATAATGTTTAATAAGAAAATAAGGAAAAGTATGTGGAGGCAGAATATACTGTACTTGATTATTTTGACAAAACTGTTAAAACTACTTTTGTGTATGGCAAAGTCGTCATTATTATTAACAGATGAAATTCAGAGAAAATCTGCAAAACTAAAATACATAATGAGCAGTTAAGAAAGGATAAAGTGTGAATGAACTTTTTTATTGAAGGCTGAAGAAAATGTTGAATAAACAGGCAAACGTTTCAGATCAGATTATTTTATTTATAATAGACAAGATTTACATGATCTTACAGGACTGAGTCTCCTTCCACTTTTAACATTTCAGGCATTATAGCTATGATGAAGTAACCTTAATGTATTCTTTTATATTACCATAATGTGGAGTACAGGAAGTACATCCACAATCAGCAGCAAATTAATGTTCCTAATTTGAAAACGACTATTGGCTTGCAGCACTACGTTTCTATAAAAAATTGTAATATTCATTCTAAGACTGCTTCACATTCACTCATATATCATGTGGGGGATGGACAAAGGGCCTGTTACCCGGTGTCCTACGTGAGCGATTAAATGCGAGCGGTGCGATTTGCGTGGGTGAAGCTGAAATATCAAACTGGCTGTTTGTATGGCGCTGTCCTAGGTTACAGCTAATCAGTCAAGAGAGTAAAGCGGTCGGATTCCGAGATCAAATATTTTGATATTTTCGCGCAGGTCGCTGCGCTGGCCAGTAAGGCGCATGCGCAGATAAGCTCTGACTGTGCAGTACAGGGAAGGTGCATGCGCAGAAAGACCGTGTGCTTCTATTGCAGTCTCTCACGTAGGACACAACAAGCGATTCCCTTATGTCATATGACACCCCATGCTGCTTATGCAGCTCGTATAGCTCGCTTCTTATCGCTCACGTAGGACATTGCCTTAGAGGCCTGGTTCCACACAGACATAGTCTTACACCATCACAGCAACAACAATAACAATGAAAGGAAGGAAATGAATAACAGTTTCTAAAATCATATCATTTACAGAAATTATGTTTAATAAGCAAGTAATGAATATATATTTGAACATATTTCAGGAAACAACACTTCATGCAAAGAAGGCATATTTAATGACAGTCACAGATACAAGGTTGAAGAAATTTCAGAACCTCCACATAACTTGTTCGTGAAATTCGGTTTTTCCTTCAGTAGCTTGAAAGGCAACTTGGAAAAAAGGTGAACGAACAGTTTCACTGAATCTGAATCTACTTCATAGTTCCTTGCGTAACAAATATACAGAACTGCTGGAATCTTGAATGTCTGACACCATGTCAGTACTGAAACGAAGGCAATAAGACTGTTGGTAAATAACATATATAACACACTGATCAACTGATCTACATGCACACATCTGCCTGTCTTTAAACACATAAAAGCCAGTCAGTAAAACCAACACCAAGGCAAAATTAACCACAGACTTACCAAATATAATGCAATTCATTACACTAACTCCTTGTTTTACAGTATTAAGTTAGATTTTCAGATAACACATAAAAGTATTATATTTCTCCCTTGGTATGCAATGAATTTTTATTAAGTGATGGTTTTGTTTTCAACCCTGCCCACTATCTTTCCATTTTTCAAAGATTGCAGTATTTCATAAAACGATTAATTAACATACACTTAAATATTCAGTTAATGAGCTAAAAATAGGTTTGTTTTTGCAATATACATAACACTGAATACTATGTTTTTTTCTGCAAGAATTTTTTAAGGCAGAAGTGAGGTCATATAATAATGTAAGGCATAAGAATATGTCAAATTAATATCTGTAAATTCCATTAATTGCAAACTGAATTAAGTAATAGTAGATCTGTTACCTGCAGCTGGTATTCCCTTCACAGTGTTAGGTTGTTCCAGACGGTCACTCAGTACTGGATAAATGAAGTTATTTGTTCTTAGTGCCTTCATGAAGATATCTGGAGGGTCATTTTGGTATCTTGTAATGTGGTACCCAGAAATATGACTGCACGTCAATATAATCACTTGCTCAGCATTCTTCATCCAAGGAGATATCTGGGAACATTAATAAATAAATGAATAAATGATTATGTGTAAGATTTGAGGTTTTCACAGCAGTGAGTCTGAAGATTGCTGTCTTCTGGGTTGTGCTGTGTAGTCTGGTCGATGTCCACAAGACTACACAGCGCACTAACCCAGAAGATGGCAATCTTCAAATGCTTATGTGCTTATGCTTCACTTCTAAAATGTGACTCATGTGAAAATCTAATGTAGAACATAAATGCATATGTCAGTGATGGCAGATATTATGTCTATACATTAAAACTGTCCTCTAAGTGACATAACTGTACTCCTCCCTCCTGTGCCCAAAGTTGATAATATACCAAAGTATACAATAACTGCACAATTTAAATTACTGTAGCTGGAATAAGTCAGTAGTCTTGTTCTCTTATATTATGTAAATTTGGTTCACATAGTGCAAATTTATGTTACATGTCTACCACTGCTAGAACCCTCTAGAATACACTTAGTATAAGTCTCTGGGGGAGCCGGGGTAGCTCAGTCAGTTAGTGGTTGACTATGGACTGGATGATGGGTTCAATTCCTCTGCATCCACCCAGCCACCTATCCAATGGGTACTGGGGTAAAGTGTGGCCAGGGCGTGACACTGACCACTCCCTCCATCTAGTGCTGATGCTGGGAATGAGTAAGAGCTATACCACACCTCCTCGAAGCGCCTAAATGACACAGCTGGATAGCTTTACTTTATTAAGTCTGTTTGGAATTATATGATTTGAAGCTTTCGTGGTGACCAAACTCAACAAAATCACTCACACACATTTATATACACGTAAAATGTGACAGAAGTTTCTATTATAAAATGTAAAACAAAATGACACAACAATGGGTGTTTATTTAATAATTAAAATGAACATCTGACAGTACAGAACTACAAAGTTCATGATTGACAGTTTAATGTTTCACTTACTTATTTTTGAAGCTGGTAATTTACTATGAAGCATAAAAATTACCTATTTATTCTAAAAAGAGAAATCAAAATGGAACATCTTGAATTTTAAAGATGTCTGTCTTCTGAGTAGTTGCCCTAATGATGGAGGCAGCAAATACCTCTGGAATATCAGTAAACTTCTAACAGAGTAAAAGTGCAACAACCTAGAAAACAGCCATCTTCATACTCACTGCTGTGAAAACCTCAAATCATACACAGCCATCTTCTTACTTGCTACAATAAGAACCTGAAATTTTATCTTCACTTGTTTTATGTACTGGAATTTTAAACATTATTATATTGTCAATGATAGCAAAATATACTACTGTGAGTTTAGTTTATAAATAAAATAAACATAATACCAGATTTCATTTTAATCCAGGTACTATAACTTTAACAATAACATACACACCTTTTCAGTGAAATCAAATGACTGAGCTATGTCTAAATGCGGACTGCAGATACACAGCAAAATATCGCTGGCCAAGTGATATATAACAGATGATTTAATTTTTCTTCTTCTGAGTTGTTCATTGTCTTCTGTTCCAGTTTCTTTAATTTCAACTATGGGTACTCCCTTATCAACAAAGCACGCTTCAATAAAACCTGTTAAAATTATTACATATAAATACATGTACCAGAACGCTTGGAAAAGGACTAAGAAAACTTAAAGACAATCATGATTCAGATATTGACTTCGGGCTATAGTTCTTAGATACACGTAACTATTCAACTGTAGTAGTTGGTATCAATTGTAGTATTGTCCACTGATATCAGTCAAGAATATTATAAAAACACTACCACTCTGAACTATAATATAAGTACAGGCCAGGAAATACTCATAAAAATAAGCCAAATAATTTAGATAGGTGTTTAATCATAGTTGGGCTGTACCCCACACTTTGTATCACTGCTATATAGAATTTTAATTCTGTATATATTACTTCACGCTTTCCAGCCGAGTAATATTTTTTGAGTGTGAATTGAGGCAGTCAGCTCAAAATTAATTTTGCAGATAATTTACACTTGATAACTCCCTCAATAGAAAACTTCAAACAGTTCATAAGAGCACTGACAGGTGGCAGGAATTTTCACATACAAGCAAATTATACTGAAATTGTGTGTCAAGTGAAACTTGTCAGCGGACCTAGTTGAATGAAATGTGTCAAGTACACCTTGATGTTGGACTGTCATCTATCTGGCTGTGTCACAACTCAGGCAGTTAGATGAATGTAAATGAAAGTATAATAAATTCTCTCAAACAAAAAGTTGTCAGTGGAACCACGGTTCCGGAGAATTTGACGTAAATACGTCTATACAGAAAGGAAGTTTATATATTGGCTTTATTCTAAAAATTTCCTTTATACCTGCTTTACAATTGAGTGAAGTTTGATTAAGACATTGCTTATTTAACTTGAATTAGTAAGGCTTCAGATGGGTCTGTGATAGATGAATGTAATGTAAACTAATGTAAGGTAAGGTAAGGTAAGGTAAGGTAAGGTAA